ATAATAGGTCATCTTCCTTCCTTACCCCTCCCCTGTTTCCCGAAAGAGAAGTGACAAAGAGGGAAAAATAGCTGTTGAGAAAGAAAAGCCAGTTCTTGGTGCAGCCACAAAAATCCCTTCCACTTTTGGAGTCCTACACCCTTCCACAGATGCCCGGGTCCAGGATGATTTTTTTTTTTCTCAATGGGAAGATGCCCAGGGAAGAATCATAGCTTCCTTCCTAGCCCCGAGCTCAGAACAGAGGCTGCTCCACTCTGAGGCTGCAGCTAGCCCCTGGGCAGAATCTCCTGAGCCCAGAAGCATCCCGCAATTATTCCATTTCCCTTGAATATTGAAGACTTTCCCCAGATACCGCAAGGAGGATTCACATCTGGATCTAAGACAGGGAAAGGGGAAATCAGGGCCATTTTTGTTCAGACCCCAGACTTTGAGTTTCAAATGTTGGCTGCTGTTGGGTGGCACATTTGTTCTGGGCCACAGGGTAAATCTTCACAGCAGCCATCTCGATCTGAATAACAAAGCCAGGTATACATACTGGATTGGGGGCTCTGGATCCTGACCACACATATTCAAATCCCAGCTCTGCTACTTTTGAGCTCTGGAGCCTTGAACCAGTTACTCAACCTCTCTGTGCCAGAGATTCTCAGTCTGTAAAAGAAGGTTAATGAGAGTACCCACCTCTCACAGTTGCTTTGGAGAGGACATGGGACAACGTACGTAAAGAAGTTAGCCTGATGCTTGAGCTTCTGGTAAATACTCAATAGATACTCATCTGAAAATGGAGCTTTTGCCAGGCTTCAGTCAAGAATTTTCTTTTATATCTTCCTCCACAGTTTAAATAGAAACCCTGAAGAGATTTGGTGCTGAAGATGTCCCAACGAGCCCTACCCTCCTCTTCCCAACTTCCTCGGGGCTGAGCTTTAGGTTGCCAGGTAATAAAGAGATCTTATATTGGTATGTCTCGCATTTGCTTTTTCCAAACACTTTTCCAGGCTTTATTCCACGATGCTGTGAGGTTAGTGTGATGATTATTTCCATTTGAGAACCCAAGGCCCTGAGAGGTAAAGTGGCCTACAAAGCCTAATGTCCTGTAAAGCCTCCAGTAGATCACAAAGGAATCAAGCAGCCTGCCTCCCCCACCCTGCATGTGTTCAAGATGCACAGAGCTTTCAGACAAGGTGAGAAGGAAGGAAGCTCATGATCCATAAGGATAACAAAATATCCCTCTATAGCTCTTAGGCAGGGTAAGCTATTTTATCTGTAATTATTATGGTTGGAGAATGAGGTTGAGAGGAAGAGCTCCTGTATTTGAGCCGACCAAACTAGTCCAGGGCAATGGCATCTTGTCTGAGCCCAAAGTGAAACTCGAATGTCCAGAAACTGAAACATTGGACACTCAGTGGCTGCCCAAGTCTATACTTGCTTGGAGAAAGTGGTCTTTAAGAAGTTTTATACACTCTTGGTCCTTGAGAAGCAAAGACAGAGACCAACTGGTGGATGAGAGAATGGCAGGAAGGTAGAGGAACAGGACAGGGTGACATTTTCTCTCCCCCCGACTGGAAGAGAGGCCCCAGGACTGGGTGTGTGGAGAGAGTTCCTGGTGTCTATTCACATGGAGGATAGTGGTTTTGAAGAGATTGTGGACTTAACAGTGCCTCAAGGAGCTCGGATGGAGATGTGGAAATGGGAGCTGGAGGTTGGGTCTGGTTAGAGGACTCGGTGGCTTTTTTACTCCAACACTGAGCTGGGGCAATGGGTGGCAGGGTAGTGTGTAGCTGGGAGAAGTTGTCACAGGAAGCAGCTGAAGCCACTCTTCCCCCATAGGCCTCATTGGGATACAGGGCAAAAGCAATGTTTTGGTGTCCGGGTGACAAAGTGGCAGTGTGGCACAGAAGGGGGAGGAGAATTGCCACCACTACCACCGTCACCACCACACCCCACCCCCCACCCCCTGTGAACCACCAGTGACTTCAGCCAAAGCTGCCTGAAGGGAGTGCAGCACCATTTCATGTCCTACCCCAGCAGGGGCCTCTGTGTTCCCATAGCCAGAGGCACCTACCAGCAGCTGGGACAGAGGAGCTATCCACAGGTGGCAATGTCGGTAGCAGACAGCCATGAGGCAGGGTAGGAACCAGAGCACAACAGGAGAAGACTATCTCAGAACACAGGAAGCTGCCAGGGTCTTCCACAGATCCCTGGAGGAAACCTTCAAGGACTTAAAGTTGTGGAACACACAGGTGGGTACAGGGGCCAGTGCCATCTGAGTTTTTACTGCTTATGGGACCAGTGAGGCCTGGAGAAAATTGAAACACTATTTTACAGCAGACAAAACTGTCTCGAGTACTTGGGCATGGGATAGTCCAACTCTGTAGATGCTGAGCGGCTTTGAAGCATTTCTAAATATAACCTTTGGGGTGAGTAGAGAAGCAGGGATCAAGTTCTGGCAGGGTCTGCTTGGACTTCATTTGTTCCATTTACCTCTAGGGACATTAACTTAAAAAAAGAGGAGAGGCAAAAGCAAAGGGAAGAAAAATAGGGAGAAAAAGAAGGAAAAGAGGGGATTAATAGGTACAAACTTCTAGTTAGAAAATAAATAAGTCACAGGGATGAAAAGTACAGCCTAGGGACTATGGGCAATAATATCGTAATAACGTTGTATGATGACAGAGAGTGACTCCGCTCATTGTGATGAGCACTGAGTAATATATCAGATAGTTGAACCACTATGTTGTGTATCTGAACACAAATAGAACACTGTATGCCAACTTCATACTTCATCATACTTCAATGATGAAATTTTCTTTAAAAAATAATTGCTATTGCTCTCTAAGATCGTGGCTAAATGAAAATCAGTTTGGGGGCACTGGGTGGCTCAGTCGGTTAAGCGTCTTCCTCTTGATCTTGGCTCAGGTCATGGTCTCAGGGTCGTGGAACTGAGCCCCACATCAGGCTTTGTGCTATGCGTGGAGCCTGATTAAGATACTTTCTCTCCTTCTCCCTCTGCCTCACCTGCCCTTCTCTCTCCTTCTCTAAAAAAATCAATACAAATTCCTTTTAAAAGTTTCCATTTTAAGACATTTTCTTTCCCAAATACATTTTCCATACACCAATCATGATTCAGTACATCCTTTTTTTTTTTTTTCAGTAGAGAGTAAGCTTGACAGTGCTTTGCTGAGCAACCCTGGCTGAACATGGAGATCCAAACTCCACTCTGGCCTGGAGTGGGCCATTGTGAGCCAACGGGGTTGGAGAAGAGGCTAAAGCTGGTTCCCCCAAGGCCCACTGCCTCCTCGCCTCAAAGTTGGGTTTCCCAATTTATTGCCCCCTTTTTTTTCCAGAGGCACCATTGCTGGTGATTGATACATCAGGCAGCCTGCAGAGCCAGATTCTTATCTTTATTACCATGGGGCTACTAATTTGTCTGCCAACCTTTGTTTTTTCTGAGAATCATTTTTCTCTTCCTGGAATCAGACCCAATGTTTAGGGTAATGGAGCAGCAGATGTGGGTCCTCAGAGAGAATTTGGTGTCTGTCTTCTCTTTCCATCCCCACTGCCCCAGCCCTAGACTGAGTGAGCTGGCAAGACAGTTACCTGTACTATTTACATCAGGGGACTCACAACTGCCCTCTGACCCCTTCCCCTATCCTGCCTCCAAACTGTGGTCAAGTTAGCTTTCTATAATGTTTCTTATCATGCCACTCCTACTGTTTTTAAAAGATCTATGAGTAACCCAATTACATGGACTGTTATTAAATAAATAAATTGGCCCTATTAGTGTCAGATTCCCCACTATCCTGACTTCTTGTCTTCATAGCCTTTACCATTATTTCAGTCCATCTTACATATGTGTTTTCTCACTCATTACCCCTTTAACGGGAATGGAGTATTCATTCTATCAGGGTTTTTATCTATCTGTCCCTAAAACAGTGGCTGACACATGTTAGATCAACCAATATTGACTGAATGAAGAACTCCATGAATCAAATTCTGTCAGCCACAGTTAATTCTGTTTTTCATAAATGAACTTTATTGACTTTTATGAATACAAATGTAATACATGCTTACTGCAGAGAATCTGGAAAGTACAGAGAAGTAGAAAGAGGAAAGTAAGAACACCCACAATCCTACCACCTGAAGGCAAATACTGTGCATAGTAAGTTCTAACTATCTATGCCTGTTTAAAGACAAGACCTTTATCAAGAGTGCTGGCCACAAAGCACAATAGCCAAGGGGAGCAGGGGCACTTAATTACTGAGGGGGCCACCAAGAGTCAGAGCTAGCAATTTGACACTGAGAAACAAAACAAGGGCCATAGACAAAAGATCAAGAAGTCATAAGTTGACAACACAAGAACAAATTGGGTTATGATAAGAATGTAGTGAGATGGTGCTTGTCAATTAGCCCAGTACCTGTGACATAATACATAATCAGTAAATGTCAGCCATTACTATGATTACTATTGTGGGTCAAAATGAATGGTTCAAGATGGATACTATTAACAGGGCAAGGGCCCTGGAGACCCATTTTGGGTGCTATGAGTTGGGGCATATGAAAAGGGTGGTTTAGGAGTGGGCATCACTCTCCTTATAGGTTCCCCTGCCAGGTGAAATGGGACCAGGGCTTCCTCACGTTTGCCTGATGACATGTGGCAAGACACTCTAAGGTGTTTTTGAGGTAGGATATGGTTTCTCCTGCCTAGACTGCTCCCTGGACCAGGAACTAGGGCTGGCCTCAATGGCAATAGGAGTTCAGAACCTCACACACCGAACACTCTTGAAGTCCACACTTCTGATTGTCAGGGCAAGTCATAGGCATGTAGGATAGAAGAGAAGGACAAGTCAAACAACTGGGAGTTGGGGGGGGGTGGGATGTGCCTGGAGGGGGAGGCTGAAGGGGGGAAGGTCACAAGATTTATGATGTAATTGAATGGAATGGGTCCAGGAACCAGTCCTCAAGTTAGCAGCAGAGTCAGACATCACAGGAGAAGATTCCAGAAAGCATTACTTGTTGGTGGGGGCCTTGTTATGGCCTGTGCTCTGTCGAAGGTGGTCATGCAGACCCTCTTGAGGGTCTCCATGCTCTTTCAGGTAGTAACAGCGTTTGGGAACATGCTGGTGCTGGGAGTGAGAAAACAAACAAACAAACAAACAAACAAAAACCAGCAGAGGTAAGAGCCACACTTACTATGATAAGAGAGTTCTGCATGGTTATTGTCAGTAACTTAGCAGTTCAAGAAACTTGGCTTGACCATATACCATGTTAGCGCATAATCTGTGACCGAGGACTAGGCTAGCCAATTTCCCTAGTGATCTGGGTACACAACACATGTGCCTGTAGGTAAGACTCAGCCCCCCCAAAGATGATCCCTCCCTTAGGATAATTGGAGAGTTGGGCCCCAACTGGTTCCCTCACAATCAGAAGACATAGACCTTTAGCCACTCCAGGCTCCCACGAACAGGATCTGGGGAGTTGCTTCAAAATGGTTAATACACCCCCAAATAACTGCCTAGCTAGGCCACTGATGAAACTCCAGCTTGGGGGTTATGGGCTAAAAGCTCAACATCTCCCCCTCATCTCTTCCTTATTCTATTCAAAGCAGCATTCGCCATCACTCCCCACCACTCCCCTTGAGTGTATTTCCCCATCATTACCTCCTCGGTCTGCTGATAAGAGTTCAGTTCATTCTCCATTGCCTCCTCATTATTCCGTTTACAGGCTGACAGCAGAACCTGGCTGGAGCTGCCCGGGGAATCCTTCTCTTCAGCCAGCTGGCACTCAGTGTAGAGAGACCTGTCTATCAGCTCCTTTAGGCTGCCGGCCACCTTCAGGAAGATCCGGCCCATTTTGGTAGTAACAGCTTCCGAGAGTCCTTCCAGAAACCTGGTCCGTAGAATGGCATCAGACCAAGACAAATGTCGGGCCAGCAGCAGGAAGTCAGTGGCGTACTGCCGGACGGACTTCTGGCCCTGCTTGGGGTGGCAAAGAACAGCACTGAGGATGTCTATCTCGGAGAGGGAGTCATATAACCCCTGTGATCTGTTCAGGAAGGATTTGTTTTCATTGGAGAGGGGGTTTCCTACCTCCATCTGCAAGATGGACCACCTCTCCGCTGCCCCCAGATGCAGAGACACCAGAAATGCCATTTTCTCGGAGTCGTTCAAAAAGCCCTTCATTTGCTTCTCCTCATTGACCTCCATCTCCTCCTCCACCGAGCAGGCACCCCGGGCTGCTTCCTGTTCTTCTAAGAGGTAACAGAGTGCTGGGGTCAGCATGCCAAAGGATGGGACTTCCTCTGGTGGTGGCTTCATTGTTTCGGCGGTTGGGGCAGTTGTGCATGGTGTGGACTTTGATCCAGACGCTGTGATGGTGACATGAGAAGCAGATGTTTCTCCAGAGTCTGTGGCTTTGATTTCTAGGATGGACATCATTCCAGAGGCAGCGGCTGCCATCTGTGGTGTGGACATGGCTCCTGGGACCGGGCTCCTCATCTGTGGCACGGACATCCCCCCAGGGGCTGTGGCTCTCACAAGTGGCATGGACATCATTCCAGAAGCTGAGGCTGTCATTGGTGGTGCAGGCATCCTTCCGGAAGTTGTGTGTGTTGTTTGTGGCAAGGACATGGATCCAGAATTTGTGACTCTTGTTTGCAGTGCGAACACTGCCCCAGAGGCCATGCTTTTCATTAGTGGCACAGACATGTCTCCAGAAGCCACTGCTGACATCAATGGCATGGACATCGTTCCAGGGGCTGTGGCTCTCATTAATGGCTTAGACATCTCTCCAGAGTCCATGGCTTTCATTTGTGCAGGGGACATATTTCCAGAGGCTGGACCTCTCCATATCTCTGCACACACAGCTTCAGAGGCTGAAGGTCTCCTTAGTGGTGTGGCCATGATTCCAGAGACAGGGGCTCTTACTCGTGGTGGGGACATTACTCCAGAGGTTGGAGCTGCAGGCATCATCTGTGGCATGGACGTTGCTCCAGAGGCTGGGGTCCTCATTAGTGGCAGGGCTACCCCTCCTGAGGCTGTGGCTGTCATTTGAGGCATGGGCATCACTTCAGAGGCTGTGGATCTCATTAGCGGTGTGGACACTGCTCTGGGGACTGCAGCCCTCATTTGTGGCATGGGCATCATTCCAGGGGCTGGAGCCATCATTGGTGGAGTAGACATTGCTCCATAAGCTGGGACTCTCTGAGATGTGGATCTCTCTCCAGACACCGGGGGTCTCATTAGTGGTGGGGACATCTCTCCAGAGGACAAAGCTCTTGTGAGCAGTGCAGACATCTCTCCAGGGTCTGGGGCTCTCATTAGTGGTATGGACATCATCCCAGAGGCTGGGACTCTCATTTTTGGTGTAGACATCATGTCAGAAACTGGTGTTTGCATCTGCAGTGAGGACATCCCTCCAGAGGTCATGGATCTCATGAACGACATGGACATCCTTCCAGAGTCTTGGGTGCTCATTGGCTGACTAGGCATCTTTCCAGAGGCTGTGGCTCTCATTAATGCTGTGGGTATTCCTCCAGGGCCTGGGGCTCCCATTAGAGGCATGGACATCGTTCCAGAAGCTGCAGCTGTCATCTGTGGTATGGACATGTCTCCAGAGGCTGGGGCTTGCATTAGTGGTGTGGACATCCCCACAGAGGCGATGTCTGTCATCTGCCGGATGGACAGAGCTCCAGAAGCTGTGTCTCTCATTAGCATGGTGGAGACCTCTCCAGAAGCTGTGGTTGTGATTTGCTGCATGAACATTGCTTCTGAGGCTTTGGATGTCGTTAGTGGTTTGGACAACGTGCCCGAGGCCATAGCTCTCATTTGTGGCAGGGACATCACTCCTGAGGCTGTGTCTCTCATTAACAGTGTAGACATTGCTCTGGAAGCTTTGGCTGTCATCCGTGGGGTGGACACGGCTCCAGAGGCTGAGGCTCTCATTTGTGGTACAGCTGTCACTCCTGAGGCTGAGGCTCTCTTCTGTGACATAGACATGGTCCCAGAGACAGGGGCTCTCATTTGCAGTGTGGACATTGCCCCAGAGGCTGGGGCTGATAGTTGCGGGGTGGACATCGTCTCAGATGCTTGGGCTGTGATTGGGTGTGTGGACACTGCCCCAGAGGCTGGGACTCTCCTTAGGGGCGTGGACATTGCCCCACTGGTTGTCACTTTCATATAGCCTGTAGACACTGCTCCAGAAGTTCTGGCCATTGTGAACTGTGTAGACATGACTCTAGAGGCCATGGTTGACATTTGCTCAGTGGACATGGCTCCAGAGGTTGTGACCATCATTGGTGGGGTGGACAATGCTGCAGAGTCTGGGACTGTCTTTAGCAATGTTGGCACATTGCCAGAGGCTAGAGCTCTCATGCATGATATGGACATTGGTCCAGAGTCTGAGACTCTCACTGGTGCTGTGGACATCCCCCCAGAGGCTGCTGCTGTCATTGGTGAAGTAGACATGATTTGAGATTCTAGATTTGGTGTTAGCTGTGGAGGCATCACTACAGAGTCTTGGGCTGACATCAGCCGGGTGGGCATCACTCCAGAGGTTAGGGCTGTAATTAGCAGTGGGGACACTGTTTCAGTGTCTGGAGCTGCCTTTGGCACTGTGGATGCCTCCCCAGCATCTGGGACTGACAGGAGTGGTGTAGACATGGCTCCAGAACCTGGAGCTGACATTAGCGGTAAAGATATTCCTCCGGAATCTTGGCCTGACATTAGCTGAGTGGACATCTCCCCAGAGTCTTGGGTGCTTGTTGGCTGGACTGATGTTGTTTCTGAAGCTAGGGCTGACATTATCAGTGAGGATATGGCTTCCGAGTCGGTGCCTGACATTAGCAGTGAAGATATCTCTCCAGAGGCCAAAGCAGTCATTAGGACTTTGGACATTGCTTCAGTGTCTTCATCCGTAATTTGCAATGGTGACATGGCTTCAGAGCCTGGAGCTGGCATTGGCTGTGTGGACATCACTCCAGAGTTTATGTCTGAAATTTGGAGTGAAGATACCTCTCCAGGATCTGGGGCCAGCATCAATGGTGCGGACATCGCTTCAGAGGATGGAGTGCTCATCATAGGTGCGGACATCGCTCCAGAGGATGAAGCTGGCATTGCCAATGGTGAGATCTCTGCAGGATGTGCTGCTGCCATTAGTGCTGTGGACATTGTTCCAAAGTCGGGAATTGTCATCAGCCCTGGGCACATTAATCCAGAGTCTGAAGTGGACAGCAATGGGGACAACGTTCCAGAATCTGAGGCTGGCATTAGCAAAGGGGACAGTGCTTCTGCATCTGGAGCTGGCATTAGCAATGGGGACAGTGCCCCAGAGTCTGAGGCTGGCATCAGTGGTGAGGACAGTGCTCCAGAGTTTGGTGCTCCCATTAGAGGGGTAGACATGGCATCAAAGGCTGGGGAGGTCATCAACTGTGCAGACATCCCTCCAGGGTCTGACGCTGATGTTGAGATTATAGGCTGTACATGGGAATGCAGGATTTGGACCTCCGCTCGAGTCTCTAGTACTGGTCCAGAGAAGGCTGTCCCCCTGTTTCGGCGGTCAACATTTTCTTCCCTCAGCATATTGTTGAATCGGAGTGAATGTAAAGGTATTGACATATCTGCCATGGCCACAAGATAATGTGGAGAGAGTCCCTAAAGTGATGGTATCAGGAAGTCTTGCTGAAGCCCAAATGGCAAGAAAATCTGTAAACGGGAAACAAGTTTAGTAGTCAAAAGCCAGTATTGAAAAGATTGAGGAAAAGACCAAAGATTTGTGACAGAGACCTTTTACACCTGTTGCCAGCTATGTGGTACCAGAAATGGGCCCATCAGGATAAAGAAGCTGTACAGCAATGAATGAACTTAAAGCTGGAGCAAAGATCCCTTCCACCCCTATCGTTTTCAAACCAACCCACTTGGTCACACAGCACAGCTCAGCACAGCACAGCACAGCACAGCACAGCACAGCACAACCTCTCCATTTATAGATGCTATGAACCTCTGCTAGCTAAGCCTACAGGAGTCTGGGCCAGCCTGGATCAAATGAAGCAGCAGCGCCACCTTGTGGGAAATTGTAAGAAGTACGGCTTCCTGTCCCACCAGAGCACTCACAAGGCAGCCAAAGGACTGGCGGACCTGCAGGAGAAAGCCCTTTGTCCCATGCTGATCATTAGTTCCTAGGGCTCATTGAGACCTGCCCGGGGTTGAGTCTTCATTCTGCTACTCCGATGGCCCTGAAGGTTTCTCTCAGGAAAAGCAAGGCACTTATCTGAGCCACAAACTGAAGATCCTATTTATGATCACAGCATTCCATGAACTGAAAATCCTGTGTATCATTTTCATTACTGACAAACACCACAGCCACTACTATTACCATGTGTTGCTGACTTAGTGTGTTCCAGGCACTGTACTTAGGCAACTGCATACAAGTTCAAACTGTAAGGTATGGAGATTTGCAAGCAATATCCCATTTGAATCTGATACCCTGTGTGATGGTATTATTCCCATTTTACCAGCTTTCTCAGATTAGTCAGGGTTGGGGCTAAAATAGGATCACTGTGATAGTAAAACTTGTATGATTTTACTATCACGTCCTCCTCGGGGTTGTCTAACCTTTGGCATCCCTAACACTTCATTAAGTTACTGTTCCGACATCTCTTGAATAGTCTATAGCTTGTACAGATTTCAAGTTTCTGTGATGACGCTTGGATAGGCAGTCCTAGAGTTTCACCCCCACCTGCCCACCCCCATAAGTGGCCCCAGAAGGGGATTCTTGGCACATAGCTTGGAAAGGAACACACATATCACACAATGTCAATGCATTCCCACAGCCTGCCCATGCCAAAAATGGAACACTTATTTGACAATGTCACAAAAGTCATCAATTTCATGGCATTATGCCTCCATAATAATAATGAGATTACTAGCAACAGAAAGACCAACAGTGAACATTTCTTGAGCATGCATTGACTGACAAGCACTCCACTAGGCACTTATATGCACCATCTCAATTGGTCCCTACAACAAAGCTAAGAGATTTTGGTACTCCATCTTCATCTTACAAACAAGTTATCTAAGGCCCAGAGAAGCTTAATAATTTGCCTGCAGTCACACAGATCACCAGGTACATTCCATGCCAGAGCCTCCCTACTATGCCATAATGTGCTCTCACTGTACTGTAATGATCCACCGTGTCTGCCTTCTCTTCCTCTTAGTCACATCATCCACAGCCCTCCCACCCATCTTTAGCCTGGACAGCCCTGAAACAGGGCACAGTAAGAGAAATACTAGCCTCCTGCTGGCACCTTGATTACTTCAATAATCGGTGAAATGGGAAAGATGAGTCAAAAGACCATTCACAGATGTCCACTTCTCATCTTCAGAAAAATCCCTGAACATGCTACAGTTTCCCACCAGGCAAAACCCAGGAAGATCTTACCTTGCCAGTTAGGGAGAAGAGAGTATGTCCTTTGCGCCCCTGGCTCTTTCAGGCTGGCCAGTTTACTTATGCCCCATGCCCAGCCAGTTCATTAAAGTAAGACCCAGTACCAGCAGCTGTTCTCTGCAATCTCCCTTAGCTATCCCCTGCCACGCCCCCCTCCTGCCCGCCAGCCAGCCAGCCAGCCTGCCCGCCCACCCGCCCCACTGCTCCTGACTTGCTAGTGCTTGCTCTGTCTCTCTGGTCCCAGATTCCTGCCTCTATATAGGCTCTGACATTTGCCTCTGGCCACCTTTCATTTGACAGCCCTCCAGAAGCTCCGTTTTAGCACTTGGCCTATGCAATTCCACCTCTCTTCCCCTCACCCCCAATAGTTGCACCAGCCCACTCTGCCCACCTCTGGCTGTCCCAGGGAAAAGAGGAGATGCACGCAATTAAAGAGATGAGACAGAAATGAGACACATCCTCTGCAGCTGAGCAGACCCAGGAGTCCTGGGAACCAGGCAATGTCACCAGTATAATGTGGAAGTGTGGGCAGAGGTTAGAGGTAAGGTGAACCACAGCCACGGCCAGAGGCTGAGTGCAAGCAACAGTCCGGAGAGTTCCAAGAGTTTCAGGTGCAGGGAGAGCAAGGTTTGAGAGGATGGACCGTGGTGCTATTAATAGACGCCTGCCATGGTAATAACAAAAAGCCAATTTGCCCCAGTGTCAGATACATGGTGGGGAATCTGGCAACAAGTGTCCCTGCCACAGGGCAAGAATATGACTGCGAAGCTCTAGGGTGCACAGACAGCCGGCAAAAAAAGCACACCATTCTTGAGCATGCCAGGTGAGGGTTTGCTCACAGAAGCAGGGCTCCAGCCTGCTTTCTACATCTGAGGCACAAGGTCAGAGTAGAACTAGCAGAAAGGTTTACCAGAGCCCTCGAACTGTCCAAATCATGATTCTTTTAACCACCAGACTAGGGGCTGAATCGGTCCTTGAGCCCTGAGCAAGGCAAAGCCTTCGGGGGGGGGGGAGTTTAAGTAGCCCGGGTATATAGGGAATCAGAGTCTGAGGATTTGAGGGGGGCATTCAGGTCATTTATAAACCCTTCCACGCTCATAATTAGCAACTAACAATACTCGACCACTCAGGATAAGCACTATATTTGGGTTATATCCTTTGGGACCCAAGACAACACTTACAACATAGGCACCGATGCCATTTTCATTTTGTAAATGGATAAACAGGCTTAGAGAAGTTGCAACCAAGTCCCAGAACTAGCAAATGGCAAAGCTCAGATTTGGGCCCGGGTCAATGTGATCCCCGAATCATTTCCTCTCTTTGGAATCAGACAAGTGGCTGGAAATGCCACAAGTGCTAAATTCCCTGCCATCTTCCTCTTTCCACCCCCCACCAGTGGCTGACTCACTGTGATGGTAATCATGATTAATATTAATAATCATGGTAATATTAATAATAATAACACCAACTGACTTTGATTGAGCTCTTCCCATAGACCAAGAATGGCACTGAGGGCTTTACATTCTCTCATTTGATCCTGACAGCCTTCCTGTGAGCTAGGTTCTATTAGTTCCCACTCTACAGATAAGAAAACTGAGCTCCAGTGAGGTGAACTGCCATGACCAAAAGCACACAGCTCCGTTTGACCCCAGAGCTCCCCCCCTCCCCTATACCAAGAGATACTCATGGGAAAACCAACAATAGCAATTGCTATTATTACTATTATACCTAATCAGGAAAGCTAGCATTTACTGTGCCAAGCACTGTGCCAAGCACCTTACATACATGATCTTGCTTTTTATGACAACCCTATGTGCCAGGTATGGTTATCACCTTCATTTCCAGATGAGGAATCAGACGCACAGAGAGGTTAACTCGCTTTCCCAAGTTCACACAACTAGAAAGCATGGTTGTTTATGATCAGAAAAATTTGGCAATGACCTCAAATGCCAGTGTTAGAACACAAGTCATGTGATGGTTAAACAAATCATGGTGGATTTGTAGCAGCCATTGAAAATGACAAGTTGATTTTTATAAAATAACTGTGTGTATTTTTGCATAGAAAAACATACAATCTGGGGATCCCTGGGTGGCGCAGCGGTTTGGCGCCTGCCTTTGGCCCAGGGCGCGATCCTGGAGACCCGGGATCGAATCCCACATCGGGCTCCGGTGCATGGAGCCTGCTTCTCCCTCTGCCTGTGTCTCTGCCTCTCTCTCTCTCTGTGACTATCATAAATAAATAAACAAATAAAATAAAAAAAATTAAAAAAAGAAAGAAAAACATACAATCTGGAAGGATATAGAATAGAGCAAAATGTTAACAGTGACCATACCTGAGCAGTGGGATTAAAAGGGATTTCTATCGTTTTCTTATCTGTATTTTCTATAATGTATAGACTGTACAGATACAAACTATAATGGATCCATATTACTTGTATTTGAGGGGGGGAAAAGTTATTTTTCTTTTGCAAAAAGGTGTGTTATCCTGGGGTTCTATGTCTAGCCCTCTTTCCTGCTCTCCCTGCATGTTCTCTAGGGATCTCCAAGCAACCTTACTCTCCCAACACACTTAAGACTTGTGCTCTTCGGCTCCTCGGTTAGTAGTGACCTCTGAAAAATGTATCCAGTGGCTTGCATTTATTTTGTATTTTGTTCTGCTCTGTTTTGTTGTGAAAAGCAATCTCTCATTTTTCTAACTTTTATTTATGTCTGATAATGACACAAATAATCTAGGAACATAGTCTCAGGATAAAAACTTGAAATTCTACATGTAGATAAAGCTAGTCCCGAGCCTACCCCACCCCCCATCCCCTCAAGTCCCATTCCTCCGTCTGTTCACAGTTGGGTGTGTCTCCTTCCAAACTTTTTCTAGCTGCAATGGCATTCAGAGTTCATATCATGCAATTGCTTGCAAAACCCAGTGTGTGCAAAGAGCTACAGTTGGAAAACCATTCTGGCACTGGTCACGCCAGGATTCCAAGGTCTGGTCGCTGGTGACCAGTCGTCATCAGCGTACTTCGAAGGAGGCTACTGAGAGAGACACAGTTCTCACTGCATGCTCAGTCCATTTGGGGCACAGACTATTAATGTCAGTGCCTCTACAAACACAGAAAGGGGAGACCTTCTAAGGAAAGAAAAGCCCAGAAATTGCTGCTTAGCATCTCTTAGGTCC